ATAGTTTCACCAAGGATGTGTCTGCATTACAGAATGAATGCAACGTGGCCGCACTTGAACTGTCCTGACCCAATGTAATGGGGTCCTGGGAGTTATAGTTTCACTAAGGATGCGTCTATATTGCAAATGAATGCAGTGTGGTCCCACTTGAACTGCCTTGGTCCAATGTGATGGAATTCTGGGAGTTATAGTTTCACTAAGGATGTGTTTATATTGCAGAATGAATGCAGTGTGGTTGTACTTGAACTACCATTGCCTAGTGTAAGGGAATCCTGGGAGTTGTAGTTTCACTAAGGATGCATATTGCTGAATTTATTTATTTATTTACTTTGGGTATTTCTACCCCGCCCTTCTCAACCCCCGAAGGGGGACTCAGGGCGGCTTCCAGCCGGCATACGTTGATGCCTACAATTCACACAGTAAAATACATAGTAACAATAAATTATAACAGTTAAAACATTACATTAATACAATAAAAATACAATAAAATGCCAGCCTGGTGGCCATCGTTTTGCCTAGTCCGTAATTAATAAATTCATTCCACTTATCATAGTCCATTTCCAAAGCTTTAGTCGTCATTGTCCATTGTCAGTCTGCCAAAATATCCATGTTTTTAATTTCCTTCTGAAAGAGAGGAGGGATGACAATGATCTAATTTCCCCGGGGAGTGAATTCCACAGGTGGAGGGCCACCACCGAGAAGGCCCTGTCCCTCGTTCTCGCCAATCTCGTTTGTGACAAGGGCGGGGCTGAGAGCAGGGCCCCTCCAGGAGATCTGAAATTCCTAGGCGGGACGTAGGAGATACGTTCGGACAGGTACGCTGGGCTGAATGCAGCGTGACCACACTTGAACTGCCCTGGCCCAATGTGATGGGGTCCTGGAAGTTATAGTTTCACTAAGGATGTGTCTATATTGCAGAATGAATGCAGCGTGGCCACACTTGGACTACCCTTGCCCAATGCGATGAAATCCTGGGAGTTGTAGTGGCCAGAGGCACCCGCACTCTATGGCAGAGAAGGCCAGAGACCTTGTAATACTACAGATCTCAGGATTCAATATCATTGAGCTATGGCAGTTCAAGAGGCGCCAAACTGTGTTAACTCTGAAGTGTAGATGCATCCCATGTTGTGTTGAAGTGGTTGGAGATAAGGCACACCATTTAGTGTGGCATTGCATATCATGGGATATGTTCACCCCGTGGATTTGGATATCACAATAATAATGACAGTCACAGTAATAATACATCATTTGTGTCTCTTGATTGAGACCCAAAGCTCACAATATCAAGGATAAAGCCATTTTTTTCTTCTTCTGACGTGGATTTTTAAGAAGGCAAACCCACTGAAGACTTTCTGGAAGACTGGGAAACGGTTTAAGGACTCTTTGAGTAATAAGGAACCGAATGTTGTAATAATTTGTGGTTATGGGTTCTCACCGGTTGGAAGTATCCTTCTCTTAAATTGCCCTTAAACATATGTATATACTGAATGAAAGGGGGAAGCAGGGGGTGCGTCTGCATTGTGGAATAAATGCAGATTAACCTCACTTGAACTATCTTGGAATCATGCTGTGGAATCCTGAGAGTTGTAGTTGACACTCCCTCTTTGATTGAACTCCCAGGATTTCATAACATTGAGCCATGAAAGTTTAAGTGGGGTCAAACTGCTCCTACTATTGTTTGTTTTTGAATATTATGAAAGGTCCCATTAGAAAATGCATAAGGATGTAGAAGAACTACAATTCCCATCATTATCTGTCACTATCAGTAGTTAAAGTTGGGCGATGATGGGCATGTGTCCCAAGTTTGGTCTAGAGCCATCATTATTTGGGTACACAGTGCTCTTTGATTGTGGGTGAACTACAACTCCCATCATTCAGGATCGATGCCCCCAAATCCCACCAGAAGTTAAAGTTTGTCATGATGGGTGAGTGCACTATGTTTGGTCCAGATCCATCACTGGTTGGGTTCACAGGTCTCTATGTGTGAACTATAACTCCCATCATCCAGGATCAATCTCCTCAAAACCTCACCAGAAGTTAAAGTTAATCATGGGGGGGGGGGGCAGACCGGGTATGTGTGCCAAGTTTGGTCCACAGTGGGCTTCACAATGCTCTTCATGTAAGTGTGAACTACAACTCCCATCATCATCTGTCATTGCCCCTAAACCACACCAGTAGTTAAAGTTGATAATAATGGGTATGTGTGCCAAGTTTTGTCTAGATTCACCATTGGTTGGGTTCACAGTGCTCTTTGATTGTGGGTGAACTACAACTCCCATCATCCTGGGCCAATCCCCACAAAACCTCACCAGAAGTTAAAGTTAGTAATGGGGTGCAGGGGGAGTATGTGTCCCAAGTTTGAACCAGATCCATAGTCAGTGGGTTTCACAGTGCTCTTCACATAAGTGTGAACTATAACTCACATCCTCCTATCATTGCCCAAGAACCCTCCAATATTTTCTGTTGTTCATGAGGGGTCTGTGTGCTATGTGCCAAGCTTGGTCCAGATCCGTATTTCCTGGAGTTACACTGCTCTCTGGATGCAGGTTGAACTATAACTCCCATTATCCTGGGTCCGTGCCCCCCCCATATCCCTTCAGTACTTAAAGTTGATCATGATGGGCCTGTCTGTCAAGTTTGGTTGACATCCATTGTTGACAGGAGTCACAGTAATCTCTGGATGTGGGAGTCATGTCGGAAAATACATACATCATACATACATACACATACATAGATTCAGACATATTTTCACTTTTATGATAGATATAGAAATAGAGAGAGAGAGAGAGAGTTAGAGTTAGAGATAGAGATAGAGATAGAGTCAGAGAGGGAGAGATAGGGTCAGAGTCAGAGATAGAGATAGAGACAGGGTTTGAGAAAGAAAAAGAGATAGAATTAGAGATAGAGTCAGAGTCAGAGTTAGAGATAGGGTTAGAGAAAGAGATAGAGTTAGAGATAGTTAGAGATAGAGATAAAAATTGAGTTAAAGATAGAGAGAGATAGGGATAGAGATAGAGATAGAGTTAGAGAAATAAATAGAGTTAGAAATAGAGATAGAGTCAGAGTCAGAGTTAGAGATAGAATTAGAGATAGGGTTAGAGAAAGAGATAGAGTTAGAGATAGTTAGAGAGAGATAGAGTTAAAGAGATAGATAGTTAGAGATAGAGTTAGAAATAGAGATAGAGATAGAGTTAGAGTTAAAGAGATAGAGAGTTAGAGATAGAGATAAAGATAGAGTTAGAGATAGAGATAGAGATAAAGATAGAGTTAGAGATAGAGATAGAGTTAGAGATAGAGATAGAGTTAGAGTTAGAGTTAGAGTTAGAGTTAAAGAGATAGATAGTTAGAGATAGAGTTAGAAATAGAGATAGAGATAGAGATAGAGATAGAGTTAGAGTTAAAGAGATAGAGAGTTAGAGATAGAGATAAAGATAGAGTTAGAGATAGAGATAAAGATAGAGTTAGAGTTAGAGATAGAGATAGAGTTAGAGATAGAGATAGAGTTAGAGWTAGAGWTAGAGTTAGAGTTAGAGTTAGAGTTAGAGTTAAAGAGATAGATAGAGAGTTAGAGTTAGAGATAGAGATAGAGATAGAGATAAAGATAGAGTTAGAGATAGAGATAAAGATAGAGTTATAGAGATAGAAAAAGAGATAGAGAGACAGAGATAGAAAGATGGAAAGATAGATAAAGATAGCGTTAGAGATAGAGATAAAGATAGAGTTTGAGATAGATAAAGAGATAGACAGATAGAGATAGAGATAGTGTTAGAGACAGAGACAGAGATAGAGATAGAGTTAGAGATAGGGAGAGAGAGAGTTAGAGATAAGATTTAGAGAAAGAGATACAGATAGAGATAGATATAAAGATAGAGTTAGAGTTAGAGATATATAAAGACACACAGAGAGATAGAGATAGAGTTAGTCAGAGTCAGATATAGAGATAGAGTTAGAGATAAAGAGAGAGAGAGTTAGAGACAGAGTTATAGAGATAGATATAGATATAAAGATAGAGTTAGAGATAGAGATAAAGACACAGAGAGAGATAGAGATAGAGTTAGAGATAAAGATAGAGTTAGAGATAGAGTTTATTTATTTATTTATTTAGACCATTTCTACCCCGCCCTTCTCACCCCCGAGGGGGGTGTGTGTGCTCAGGGCGGCTAACACAGGCAACTATTCAATGCCAACAATATCAAAACAACAATATAAAACAGCAATATAAAATCCATTACATAACAGTTAAGCAGTGATATTAATTAAAATTACATAACCACATAGAACAGATCACATAATCACAGGTCATAAAGCCATTTCCAATTTTCAAACAATCCTATTGTCTGAGTTCAGTGCCTAAAGTGCTGTTGTGCCCACTAGCCAAAGGCCTGGCTCCAAAACCATGTCTATAGTAAGGAGGGAGGACGCCGATCTAATCTCACTGGGGAGCGAGTTAGAGAGAGAGTTAGAGATAGATAAAGACACAGAGAGAGATAGAGTTAGAGTTAGAGTCAGAGTCAGAGTCAGAGATAGAGTTAGAGAGATTGAGATAGCTAGAAGTGAATAATAATAAACATCCATCTATCCATTCTTTGACTTTTGTACATAGAGAAAGTAAGAAGAATAAAAATAATTTTTGTTGGTTCCCTGCCTTTCTTTATGGCTCCAACTGAGGTCCCACATAGTTAAAACACTAGACATACGTTTCGCAGGCTTTAAATGATGTTGTTTTTAAGGTAAGTATCTCAAATCAACCCCGAGCAGAGGGAAGCCTCCTCTTTCCCAACAAGAGATGGGAAGCTTCCCCACCTGGGTGCTTTTGCAAGGATGGTTTTGGCCGTTTCCTTTCCCCATTTCCAACTGTTATCCCACCGCATTTCCTGAAAGGTTGAGAGGGAAGGAAACCGTTTGAGTGCCCCGTTGGCAAGAGGGGAGGTCCCAGTTGGAGACGGGGGTTATAAATAAGGTGGCCCATCAACCCCAGAGCCCAAGTTTGTGCCCAAATCCCCAAAGAGACGCACCTGGAGATGATGGAGAAGGCCTGTATTTTGCTGCTTTTCCTGGGGGTGGCCACGGCAGCCCCCACGGTGCGCAGCCCCATCTCCTATGACCAGGCGGTGGCCTCCGCCGTGGACACCTACAACCGGGAGCAGAAGCCAGAGTTTCTCTTCCAACTCCTGGAATCCGAGCCCCAGCCGGACTGGGTGAGTCGAGCCACGTCTGAGGCCAAGATGGGTCAAGCTATGGATGAGGGACAATAGGGGAGTCAGTGCCACAGGAGGTCATAGGCTCCTAGGGTTGGAAGGGGCCCCAAGGGACCATCCAGTCCAACCCTTAGGAACTCACAATACCAACCCACCCAACAGATGGCCACCCAGCTTCTGTTTCAAGACTTTTTGGGGAGGGTTCTCCATGAGGGAGATCGGGCAGTTCCAGAGTGTGGGGTCAACATGGGTCAAGTCAACGGTGGGGGAAGAATAGGGATCACAGAAATATAGAGTTGGAAGGAGATATCTAGTCCAACCACATCCTGCCAGGTTGGAACACAGAGACAAAGCACTCCTGAGAGATGGCCATCCATCTCTGCTCCACAACCTCCAGAGAAAGAGATTCTAGGAGATAGCAAAGAATAAGGAAGATAGAACCACTTGAGGTTATAGAATCATGGAGTTGGAAGGGACCCCAAGGGCCATCCAGTCCCACCTCCTGCCATGCAAGAATGCAGTCAAAGCACTCCTGACAGATGGCCATTCAGTATCTGCTTAAAAGGGAAACTCCAGGAGATCAGACAAGAACAAAGTATGGGTTTAAATGGGTCAGGTGATCAATGAAGAAATGATAGTGCCATTTGGGGTCAACCAAGACCAAAGTCTGGGGTCATAGAATCATAGAATCATAGAATCAAAGAGTTGGAAGAGACCTCATGGGCCATCCAGTCCAACCCCATTCTGCCAAGAAGCAGGAATATTGCATTCAAATCACCCCTGACAAATGGCCATCCAGCCTCTGCTTAAAAGCTTCCAAAGAAGGAGCCTCCACCACACTCCGGGGCAGAGAGTTCCACTGCTGAACGGCTCTCACAGTCAGGAAGTTCTTCCTAATGTTCAGATGGAATCTCCTCTCTTGTAGTTTGAAGCCATTGTTCCGCGTCCTAGTCTCCAAGGAAGCAGAAAACAAGCTTGCTCCCTCCTCCTTGTGGCTTCCTCTCACATATTTATACATGGCTATCATATCTCCTCTCAGCCTTCTCTTCTTCAGGCTAAACATGCCCAGTTCCCTAAGCCGCTCCTCATAGGGCTTGTTCTCCAGACCCTTGATCATGGATGGATCAAGTTATCAAGGAGGAAGAAGAATAGAATCCTCGAGTTGGAAGAGATCAGATGAAACATCCAGTAAAAGCCCCTGACATTCAGGAACACACAATCTAAGCCTTCTGGATAGATGGCCATCTAGCCTCTGCTTAAAAACCTCCAGAGAAGGAGATGACACTGGATTCTGAGGCAGTCTATATTGTTCTATAATTGGAAGGGACCCCAGGGGCCATCTAGTCCAACTACCTTCTCCCAGGTAGGAAAAGCACAACCCAAGCCCCCCTGATAGATCGCCATCCAACCTCTGCTTCTAAACCTCCACAGGAAGGAATCCTAGGAGATCAGGCAGGACCATAGTGTGGGGTCAGGAAGAGTCAAGGTATTCATGAGGAAGAAGAGGGAAGTTAGGAGAGGATGTGGCAGTTTGCTTTTGCCTGAGATGACTGGAAGGGAAAGACTTATCTGTCCTCTATGCTGCTGCTGAGTGAATTGAATGAAACGTACCTCTGCAATTCTGAACTGGGCTTGCAGCAATTTGAGTAAGCTGAGGGCAACGGCGGGAGGAGGAGAAAGAAACCGGGGCATTTGAAAAGAAAGGAGACTTTACAGCAGTGGTTCTCAACCTGGGGGTCGCGACCCCCAAGGGGGTCGTTTGGCCATTTCGGAGGGGTCGCGAGGCCACCTCCTTTGGCCCCGGCCCCCAAGGCTTTGCACAAAGCCAGGCCTCGTGCAAAGCCACCCTTGCCTGTCTTGCGCTCTTCCCATCCGGCAAGGGCGAGAGCCAGGCAAGGGCTCCTTCACGTGAGGCCTGGCCTCGCGCAAAGCCACCCTCACCTGCTTTGTGTTCGCCAGCCGGCAAGGGCAAGAGCCTGGCCTCGCGCAAAGCCTCTCTCGCTTGCCTCGTGCTCTCAAAAATAATTTTATGGTTGGGGGTCACCACAACGAGGAACCATATTTAGGGGTCATGGTGTTAGAAAGCACCGGGATTGTGGCGCAGCTGGCTGAGTGTCAGCTGCATTAAGATCACTCTGACCAAAAGGTCATGAGTTCGAAGCCAGCCCGGGTTGGAGTGGGTTTCCAACCAATTGTGTAGCCTGTTGTCGACCTTTGCAACCGAAAGACAGTTGCATCTGTCAAGTAGGAAAATTAGGTACCACCTTAAAGTGTGGGGAGGCTAAATTAACTAATTTATGAGGCCATAAAGAAGACTCCAGCAGAGCATTCCAGCGGGGAAGCATGCGGGGAATGCGGAAGTACTTCATCAGCATCGCAGATGGACGATGAAAGCGACAGCTCCCCTGGCGGCCAGAAAAAGTTAAATAGCCTCTGTGTATGTCTGTATATGTTTGTATGTCAAAAATTGGCATTGAATGTTTGCCATATATGTGTACACTGTAATCCACCCTGAGTCCCCTGCGGGGTGAGAAGGGCGGAATATAAAAGCTGTAAATAAATAAATAAATAATAATAAAGGTTGAGAACCACTGCTTTACAGCACGGATCCTCAAACTACGGCCCGCGGGCCGGACCTGGACCCTCGAGGGCATTTATCCGGCCCGCGCTTCTCCGACCTCCTCTGGCCTCATCCTGAAGGCAGGAGAAGATTTTAAGTGTGGGTTTTTTTTGGACTGCGAATAAGATATGTGCAGTATGCATAGGAATTCATTCATTTTTTTTCCAAATTATAATCCGGCCCTCCAACAGTTTGAGGGACTGTGACCTGGTCCTCTGTTTGAAAAGTTTGAGGACCCCTGCTTCACAGGTTTGTTTGGTGCTGTCCTTGCAAAAGTGGGACTGTTGGAAGGAATAGTTGCATGATGCTTTTAATTGGAATGTTATTGTGATGAATTCTCGAATGCAGAAGCATGTGATCACTTTGGCCCAGAATAAGCATGGCATTTTAAAAAATGAATACTTTATGTGTATTGTGAGGAACTTTTTGCTGGAGAGACAAAAATATGGTCAGCTCAGGAAGTATTAACCATTTCCTTCCGTCCCTAGAAAACCACCGGGGAGGTCACCCAGCCATTGAAATTCTCCATCAAAGAGACTGAATGCCGCTCCACAGACAAGATGAACGGCACCAACTGCAACTTCAAAGAGAACGGGGTAAGGACCTTCTTCTTGCTGACCATTTTGTTCCTGCTTCTCTTCCTTGACCCATGTCAGTGGAGCAGTGCAGCGAGACCAGGTTTTATTTCTCACCTTAAAGGTGCTCGCTGGCTGGAGAACAGTCCAAGTGGAAGGATCTAGGAGGCTTAGGAGACCACAAGGTGAACACAAGTCAACTGTGTGATGCGGTAGCTCCAAAAACCAATGCAGTCCTAGACTGTATCCATAGGAGGATAGAGTCCAGGTTGAGGGAAATAATAATCTCACTCTATTCTGCTTTGGTCAGCCCTCCCCAGATATACTGCGTCCAACTCTGGGCAAAACAATTCCAGATATGGATATGGATAAAATGGGAGATACTAGAGCAGTGGTTCTCATCCTGGGGGTCAGGACCCCTAGGGGGGTCATGAGGGGGTGTCAGAGGGGTTGCCAAAGACCATCAGAAAACACAGTATTTTCTGTTGGTCATGGGGGTTCTGTGTGAGAAGTTTGGCCCAATTCTGTCGTTGGTGGGGTTCAGAATGCTCTTTGATTGTAGGTGAACTATAAATCCCAGCAACTACAACTCCCAAATGTCAAGGTCTATTTTCCCCAAACCACACTGTTCACATTTGGGCATATGGAATATTTGTGCCAAGTTTGGTCCAGATCCATCATTGTTTGAGTCCCCAGTGCTCTTTGGATGTAGGTGAACTACAACTCCCAAACTCAAGGCCACTGCCCACCAAACCCTACCAGTATTTTCTTTTGGTCATGGGAGTTCTGTGTGTCAAGTTTGGTTCAATTCCATAATTGATGGAGTTCGGAATGCCCTTTGATTGTAGGTGAACTAGAAATCCCAGCAACTACAACTCCCAATGTCAATCTATTTTCCCCAAACTGCCACCAGTGTTCACATTTGGGCATATTGAGTATTCGTGCCAAGTTTGGTCCAGATCCATCATTGTTTGAGTCCCCAGTGCTCTCTGGATGTAGGTGAACTACAACTCCCAAACTCAAGGCCACTGCCCACCAAACCCTACCAGTATTTTCTCTTGGTGACAAGAGTTATGTGTGTCAAGTTTGGTTCAATTCCTTCATTGATGGAGTTCGGAATGCTCTTTGATTGTAGGTGAACTAGAAATCCCAGCAACTACAACTCCCAACTGTCAATGCCTATTTTCCCCAAATGCCACCAGTGTTCGCATTTGGGCATATTGAGTATTCTTGCCCAGTTTGGTCCAGATCCATCATTGTTTGAGTCTCCAGTGCTCTCTGGATGTAGGTGAACTACAACTCCAAAACTCAAGGTCAATGCCCATCAAATCCTTCCAGTATTTTCTGTTTCAAGTTTGGTTCAATAGTATCATTGGTGAAGTTCAGAATGCTCTTTGATTGTAGGTGAACTATAAAATCAACTACAACTCCCAAATGACATAATCAATCCCTCACCCAATCCCAGTAGTATTCAAATTTGGGTGTTTTGGGTATTTGTGCCAAATTTGGTCCAGTGGATGAAAATACATCCTGCATATCGGATATTTACATTACAGTTCATAACAGTAGCAAAATTACAGTTATGACGCAGCAATGAAAATAATGTTATGGTTGGGGGTCACCACAACATGAGGAACTGTACTAAGGGGTCCCAGCATTAGGAAGGTTGAGAAGCACTGTACTAGAGGGAAAAAATGAAATGCACATATATAGGATGGGTGACCCCTGCCTTGGAAACAGTCCCTGTGGAAGAGATTTAGGAGTCCTAATCGACCACAAGATGAACATAAGCCAAGAATGTGGTGCGGCAGCTAAAAGTGCCAATGCTGCATCACTAGGTGCATTATTATCACACTACAGCTGAAAGAGTAGGCATCTGGGGCCCCTTCTAGACTGCCATATAATCTGGATTATCTGCTTTGAGCTGGATTATATTGCAATGTAGACCCATACAATCCAGTTCAAAGCAGATAATTTGGATTATCCACTTTGATAATCTGGATTATATGGCAGTCTAGAAGGGGCCTGTTCTGTCATGCACTGGGCCTGTAATAATTGTCTGTTGAAATAGGATGTGCACCTTGTGCTCAGCGGGAAGCCAGGGCCCCACGAAAGAGGCCCTCAAGGATTTTCCTGAAGAAATGGTCTTTAGATGGCTTGAAAGGTTAAACAAAGTCCTTTATTATTGAACAAATTAAACAGATATTTCTCAAATCTTCAAACAAATGCTTCAAGGCTTTAAATCAACTGGTGGCTTCCTTAATCTTGTCCACAAGGGACAGGCAACTGTCTTCGTTAGTTGTTCTTATGCTTTGAGAGGAAAACCCTTTTTTAAACTCTCCCAGGCTGTCTGTTATCTAAGTTTTGTTGGTGTGGGATCTACTACCGATTCCAAACTGCGTCTTGGTACCGAGTAAACCTACCAGACAAAGCTTGTAGATTCTCCAGCTAGAGTTCTTTGGGTCTGTAAAGCTGTTTTCCCTCTGGAATTTCTTTAAGACTTTAGGGCTGTTTCCCTCAGATGCTGTAAGGCTGAGAGGCTGCAAGCTCCCAGCCAGAGCTTTGGGAATTTCCCCTGGAATGTCTTGAGAAATGAAGCTTTTCTGCAGGTGAAGCTTGTCCACATCCTCTAACTTAGCTTTCCTCACTAAGACTAACTAAAAATGCCCCCCTCTTCCCTTCCCATCTCCCTGGGAGAAGGGGTGGATCCAAACTTAACAATGATAGACAGGTGGCTTGCCCTATGACTGCAAACCAAAGGAAGCCACCTTTTTGCAGAATCCCTGAAACTTTGGAATGCATGCAAACACTTAATAGAAAGAAAATAAAGTTGGAGCTCCTGGTAAAGACGTACCAGCACAGGGACTAATGTCTTCTGCTTTGGTAAGGCCTCACCTGGAACAACACGCTGTCCAGTGTTGGGCAAAGCAATTTGAGGAGGAGATGGACAAGATGGGAGGTGTGTCAAAGTTCTGGAAACTATGAATCCCTCTGAGGAGAAGGTCTTCTTGGAGAAGAGAAGGTTGAGAGAAGGTTTCAGCAGTTGAAAGGAGGTGATACTGAGGAGCAGAGAAGCTTGTTTCCAGCTGCTCCAAGGAGCAAGCAGCATCTTCTGACCTTTTGTTACTCTCTCTTCATGGGTGAATCTCTTCTTCCTTTCCTTCCACAGGTGGACAAGGACTGCTCCGGCTTCTACTCAACCCAGCAAAACCCACCGGCCATCATCGTCCAGTGCGAGGACGTGGAGCAAGAGGTAACGCCGTTGCCTTCCGGGTCTTCTCTTTGGCTCCATGGAAGGGTCACTGCTAGGGGTCAGCCAGGGCAGGGTCATGGTGGGAGCCCCACAAATCCCACCATTGGGGCCGGTCTAAGATGGTGCCTCCTCCTTTGGACTCATCTAATAATAGACCCCACACTGGATCATCCCATCAACTCTGTATTGACTTGATATTCATATTGAAAGCAAACCAAGGCAAACCTAACATCACACAGCTTTGTTGAATTATAAAAACTGCTTTGGAAATGCAATATGCAACAGTAGTGAAATGGCAGTTAATATTGATTAACCATGAAAATGAACAAAATCTGGCTACCAGTATTAAAAAACTCTAAAATTACAACAGCAAAACAACAGAGAGGAAACAATAAGGACATCTAATCACCTCTCAACAAAAGATTGCCCCAGGCACTGCCAGGCCATCAAATGCTAATCAAGGTGATCAGTTGAAACATTCACACTTAGTTCCAACAGACAAGAGTTCTTTGACCCACCCTGGTCATTCCACAGATATATAAACCTTCTTTCCTAGTTCCAACAGACCTGAACATTAGGAAGAACTTCCTGACTGTGAGAGCCGTTCAGCAGTGGAACTCTCTGCCCCGGAGTGTGGTGGAGGCTCCTTCTTTGGAAGCTTTTAAACAGAGGCTGGATGGCCATTTGTCAGGGGTGATTTGAATGCAATATTCCTGCTTCTTGGCAGGGGGTTGGATGGGATGGCCCATGATAAACCCATTTTCCTAGTTCTAACAGACTTCACTACCTCTGAGGATGCTTGCCATAGATGCAGGCGAAAGTCAGGAGAGAATGCCTCTAGAACATGGCCATATAGCCCGAAAAAAACTTACAACCAATATTTTAATTTCTATTTAGAGTGTCATCTCTCCGGTTCCTTTTGCTGGTTGCTTGAGGGCTCATCCACACTGCTATATAAAATCCAAATTTTCTACTTTGAACTGGATTGTTCGGCAGTGTAGACTCAGAACCAGGTTTAGGCTCAATCTAAAAATGGATATAATATCCAGATTATATGTTTTGAAGTGGATTATATAACTGTTCTTATGTTATTGTGGGCATCGAATTGTGTCATTTTGTAAACCATTTTGTAAACCACCATGAATCTGGGTTGTTGTAGGTTTTTTTGGGCTATATGGCCATGTTGTAGAGGCATTCTCTCCTGACGTTTTGCCTGCATCTATGGCAAGCATCCTCAGAGGATGCTTGCCATAGATGCAGGTGAAACATCAGGAGAGAATGCCTCTAGACAGTGTTTCTCAACCTGGGGGTCAGGACCCCTGGAGGGGTCGTGAGGGGGTGTCAGAGGGGTCGCCAAAGACCATCAGAAAACACAGTATTTTCAGTTGGTCATGGGGTTTCTGTGTGGGAAGTTTGGCGCAATTATGTCCTTGGTGGGGTTGAGAATGCTCTTCGATTGTAGGTGAACTATACATCCCAGTAACTACAACTCACAAGTGTCAATGTTTATCTTCCCCAAACTCCACCAGTGTCCACATTTGGGCATATTAAGTATCTGTGCCAAGTTTGGTCCAGATCCATCATTGTGTCCACAGTGCTCTCTGGATGGAGGTGAACTACAACTCCCAAACTCAAGGTCAATGTCCACCAAATCCTTCCAGTATTTTCTGTTGGTCATGGGAGTTCTGTGTGCCAAGTTTGGTTCAATTCCATTTTGGTGGAGTTCAGAATGCTCTTTGATTGTAGGTGAACTATAAATCCCAGCAACTACAACTCCCAAATGACAAAATCAATCCCCCCCTCCAACCCCACTTGTATTCAATTGGGTGTATTGAGTATTTGTGCCAAATTTGGTCCAGTAAATGAAAATACATCAGATATTTACATTACAATTGATATCAGTAGCAAAATGACAGTTATGAAGTAGCAATGAAAATGATTTTATGGTTGGGGGTCACCACAACAGGAGGAACTCCATTAAGGGGTTGTGGCAATAGGAAGGTTGAGAACACTGTTCTAGAACATGGCCATATAGCCTACAACAACCCAGTGATTCTGGCCATGAAAGCCTTCGACAATAGCTCAAAAATCATTTGTGATCTTTTGAAAAGTATGCCTAGCGGTATCATTGGTTCCTACATGAATCAACATGTGAGTGGGGGTGGGGGGGGGGGGAGATGATGGGACCTGAGAGCCCGGTGAGCCTCTGAGTGACATGGTGTATTTTTGGCCATGTCATATTTCTCGAGCCATCCTGTCTAGTCTGGAAATGATGGCTTCTGTTCTAAGGAGGGAGTCACCTACTACCGAGACCTGTTTCCTTTGAGGATTGGCAGGGTTCCTTTTCTGCAAGGAAGTGTGTAGGTCCCCAGAAAAGTGTTCCTGTTGAAGTGGATTGTGTAGGTGTATTTGTAGGTGTATTTGTCAAGGACAATCCATTTTCCCACATTGACCCCTCTTTCTTGCTCCGGATGCAGCTGGGCCGCATCACTCGGGGCCGATGGGGAAGGTTCTGGAGGGGAGCGAAGCGTTTCGTGAAGAAGCACGGCGTGAGCATCGCCTTGGCGGGACTGCGGTTTGTGGGCTGAGAGGATCCTGGACCGGACGAATGCTGACGTGATTGCCAACCCCCTTTGCTCTTCGCTCACGGCTAAGGTCAATGCAAGCTCAGATTTGGAAATGCAGCTTTCCCCTTCTCCTGCGATTCCTCTTTCATTTCTTGTCTCGATATATGTGACAAAAGGCTTAGGCGTGTTAATAAACTTCCCTGTCTTCCACCATGAATCTGTCCAAGGCTGATCCTCTTCATTTAAAGGTTTTGTTGTCAAGAGTCTCCAAACAAAATGCAAAATCCTTAAAAAGATTACACTATGTTTTGGGTACTAACTACTACCTGGTGTCGTTCCGGTGTGATTAGGACTGCAGTCCACCTTTCTCTTTCTTCCCTTTCATTCCCTCACACCTTTCCCCCTTTCCTTTCTCCTTTCCTCCCTCTCACCCTTCTTTTTCCTTTCCTTTCCCCTTCTTTTTCTCTTTCTTCCCCTCCTCTTCGTTTTTCCCTCCCTTCTGTTGTCACTTCTTCCTTCCCTTCCTTTCTCTTCCCCTCTTTCTAATTCTTTCCTTCCCTCCCATCTTGACTTTCCTTTGTTTTCCTTCCTCCTCTCCTTTTTCTTTCCCCTCCCTTACTTCTCCCTCGTTTCTTTCCCTCACTTCCTTCCTTTCACCCCTCATACACCTTCTCCATCTCTCTTTCCTTCCTTTCCTTTCTCCTTCCTTTGCTTTCCCTCATACACCTTCCCCCTCTTCTTCCTTCCTTCCTTCCTTCCTTCCTTCCTTCCATTTATTTCCTCCTTTTTCTTTCTTTCACTCCTCCTTCCTTCCTTCTTTCCTTCTCCTCCTTCCTTCCTTCCTTCCTCCTTTTTCTTTCTCTTTCTATGCATTTGGGAAGGAAGCAGAAGAGAGCGAGACTGCAACCTCTCTTGATCCTTCCTTCCTTCCTCCTTCCTTCTTCCTTCCTTCCTTCCTTCCTTCCTTCCTTCCTTCTTCCTTCCTTCCTTCCTTCCTCTCATACATTGAGCATTCAGCCATGGCAGTTCAAGTGAGGTTAAACTTGTCCTTCCCTCATTGGAGGGAAGGAGATTAGAGGCAAAGATGGAGTACTTTGGCCACATCATGAGAAGACAAGAAAACTTGGAGAAGATCATGATGCTGGTGACAATGGAAGAGGGACTGACCAAGGGCAAGGTGGGTGGATGGTCTCCTTGAAGGGACTTGCTTGACCTGGAAGGAGCTGCGGGTGGCCACGGCCCACAGGGAGCTCTGGTCTGGGCTGGTCCAGGAGGCCACCAAGAAGCTGAAGCGACTGAACGAATAGACAACATCAACAGTCAGACTGCATTCATTCTACACAGTGTAGACGCACTTCAAGTGTGTGGATCCTGATGGTAAACAGTCTGCAAGGTAGGAGTAGTGTTAACCCTCTTTTAACAAAAATGAATATGAATCTTGGATGGATTTATGGTACACAACCCTATTAATCTTTGTTTATTAATGTCCTTGTTTAATAATGTGTGAGGGTCACACTCAAACTGCAATGTCCTGAAGGCTCTGTCAAGTGACCAATCCCAGGATTCTGTAGGATCTGGAGGTGAGACATTTGAAGGGATTTTAAGAAGATTGCTCTATAACAGGCATGGGCAAACTTGGGCCCTCCGGGTGTTTTGGACTGCAACTCCCACAATTCCTAACAGCCTACTGGCTGTTAGGAATTGTGGGAGTTGCAGTCCAAAACACCCGGAGGGCCCAAGTTTGCCCATGCCTGCTCTATAAGCTAATACACATTTTGAATCAAAACATATGCAAGCAAAGGCATGGATGGCCGGACGCTGCTCAGCGTGGGCAGAAGCAGAGCTGGACTTGGTGGGGGATGTTCCTGAATCCACTGACGTCCGGCGTGAGTTCGATTTGGGTGACTCCCGGAGGGTGCTTCAGGCGGAAACTCTGCAGGATGGTGGTGATGTAGAGGAAGAGCTGCATCCGGGCCAGTCCTTCACCCAAGCAATTCCTCTTTCCTGTCACAAAACAAAAGGACTGGTTACATTGGATCAAAGTAGGAACAGGTTGAGCATCCTTGGTCCTTTCGACCAGACGTGCCTAGGTTTGGGGATTATTTTTCTTTTACAATGTTGGAACACCCATATTTGCACACATGCACATAATGAGATATCATGGGGTGCATCTATACTTCAGAATTAATACAGTTGGACACCCCTTTAATTGCTACGACTCAATAACATGGAATCCTGAGGTTTGTAGCTTCAAAAGGCCTTTAGTCTGTCAAAGAGGGTTGGTGCCTCACCAAACTACAGATCCCAGGAACTCATAGCATTCAGCCATGACATTTAAAGTGGTGTCACACTACATTCATTCTACAGTGTAGATGCACTCGAAGAAGGTCAAATAAAGATGGGTTGTGGATTTTTCGGGCTATATGGCCATGTTCTAGAGGCATTCTCTCCTGATGTTTCGCCTGCATCTATGGCAAGCATCCTCTGAAGGTTGTGAGGATGCTTGCCATAGATGCAGGCAAAACGTCAGGAGAGAATGCCTCTAGAACATGGCCATATACCCCGGGACACAGCATATTATTTGGGAACACAGAAATGCTGGACCACTCCAACAACCACCATGTCAGACTACACAGAAAAGCCATTGAAATCCACAAGCATGTGGACAATTTCAACAGAAAGGAGGAAACCATGAAAATGAACAAAATCTGGCTACCAGTATTAAAAAACTCTGAAATTAGAACAGCACAACAACAGAGAGGAAACAAACAAGGACATCTAATCACCTCTCAACAAAAGATTGCCCCAGGCACTGCCAGGCAATCAAATGCTAATCAAGGTGGTCAATTGAAACATTCACACCTAGCTCCAGCAGACAAGAGTCCTTTGTCCCACCCTGGTCATTCCACAGATATATAAACCCATTTTCCTAGTTCCAACAGACCTCACTACCTCTGAGGATGCTTGCCATAGATGCAGGCGAAACGTCAGGAGAAATGCCTCTAGAACATGGCCATATAGCCCCCCCCCCAAAAAACCTACCACAACCCAATGGCCATATAGTCCGAAAAACCTGCAACAACCCAGTGATTCTTGCCATGAAAACCTTCGACAATACACCAAATAAAGATCTTCTGGATGGTGGAGTGCCTACATGGATTAGTGTTCAATAAACAATAGTTTGCAAAGCTATGGGGTAGAAAAGTAAAGACAGAAATTGCATCCTGGACACAACACTCTTTTTTTGCAAGCCCCAAAGCTCCTTACCACCCTATTTTGGAGGATCTGTATGCAATTTTGCAAAAAAAAATTGCTCTCAAATCCACCAAACCCCAATAAAAATAAAGCAATTGGGTTTGTTCTCGGACTGCTATTTATCTTTTCAATTGCAAATTGGCAGCAAATGGAACAAGAAGGATGGAATGTCGTGTAATGTAATGTTGTAAAATTACAACAGCAAAACAACAGAGAGGAAACAATCAGGGACAATGTTTTGTCAAAGGCTTTCATGGCTGGAATCATTGGTTGTTGTAGGTTTTTTCGGGCTATATGGCCATGGTCTAGAGGCATTCTCTCCTGACGTTTCGCCTGCATCTATGGCAAGCATCCTCAGAGGTAGTGAGGTCTGTTGGAACGAGGAAAATGGGTTTATATATCTGTGGAAAGACCAGGGTGGGACAAAGGACTCTTGTCTGCTGGAGCTAGGTGTGAATGTTTCAACTGACCACCTTGATTAGCATTTGATAGCCTGGAAGTGCCTGGAGCAATCTTTTGTTGAGAGGTGATTAGAGGAAACCATGAAAATGAACAAAATTTAGCTAAAAGTATTAAAAAAACCTCTAAAATTAGAAGAGCAAAACAGCAGAGGGAAAACAATCAGGGACATCTAATAACCTCTCAACAAAAGATTGCTCCAGGCACTTTCAGGCTATCAAATTCTAATCAAGGGTGGTCAGTTGAAACATTAACATCTAGCCACAACATTGTGCTGCACTTTCTATGCAGCACAATGCACTGGAGTGGATGTTGGGATGGAAAGTGCCCCCTGTCCCCAATCTAGGATTTCCCTAAAGATCTCCAAAGCCCAGACCTGCAGAGAAAGGCATGTCAGCTCCGTTCTTCTTGAATTCTCCTTTTTCGTCCAGAAAATGTCCCGGGTCAAACTGGTATGGATTTTTAAATTGCGTGGGGTCATGCAGTGCAGAGCTCAGGATGGGATATAGAGTCGCTCCCTGTCGGAAGAAAGCAGAGAAACGGACAAACGTACATCTATCAGTGCATCTACACCGCAGAATAAATGCAAATTGACTCAACTTAAACTGAGATGGTTCAATGCTACGGAATCATGGGCATTGTACTTTTGCAAGGTGTTTGTTTATAAAGCTACTGTCCTCCCAACCCTGTTCTACGCTTGTGAGACATGGACTGTCGACAGACGTCACATGCAACTCCTGGAATGATTCCATCAGTTTTCCTTCCGGAAAATTCTGCAAATCTCTTGGGAAGACAGGCGGACAAATGTCAACGTGTGGGAAGAAGCAAAGACCACCAGCACTGAAGCGATGCTCCCCCACCATCAACTCCGCTGGACTGGCCACGTTGTCCGGATGCCTGACCACCAAAGCAGTTGCTCTATTCCGAACTCAAGAACAGAAAACAGAACGTTGGTGGACAGGAAAAGAGATTTAAAGATGGGCTCAAAGCCAACCTTAAAAACTCTGGCATAGACACTGAGAACTGGGAAGCCCTGGCCCTTGAGTGCTCCAGCTGGAGTTCAGCTGTGACCAGCAGTGCTGCAGAATTTGAAGAGGCACAAATGGAGGGTGAAAGAGAGAAATGTGCCAAGAGGAAGGCACATCAAGCCAACCCTGACCAGGACCACCTACAGTCTGGAAGTCACCTACGGACCCACCACCAGTACACCGATCTTGGAAAACAATCTTACTTGGACAACAAGGGATCGCCTAATTAAGTAAGTAAGTAACTTTTGCAAGGCCTTTGGGCTTCTCTGGCACCTCACCAGAGACAATACCCATGATTCCATAGCATTGAGCCCTGCTGGTGAAAGTGATGTTGAACGACATTCATTCTACAGTGTGGATGCGCCTTATTGTGCCATTGGTTGAGTCTTAGAAGACAGATTTGGACGTTCCTTGGGTGTCATGGAATGGGAGCATCTCCTGGCCTCCAAGGACCACCACAGGTACCTTTGGGATCTTGAATCCTCCCAGCTCCATGTCCTTCTTGGCGATGCGAGTGAAGCCCAAGGGGATGAGCGAAAGGAACCTCTGGGCTTCGTGGAGGACAGCTTCAGTGTAGGGCATCCCAAGGCGGTCCTTCATGGCTGGTGGACGCTCCCGACCAATCACCTGGTCTATTTCCTCCTGGACCTTTGCTGGAAGGAGAGTCAAAGGCAGGTAACAAACCAAAACCAAGAAGGGAAGGAGCCTCTATTCTCTCTCCCTATTGTCTACAACAATATAGGTTTAACATCTCTTCTCCAAAATGATTGGAACCAGAGATGTTTTGGATTAGGTCCCAGAGGGTGGCATTGTTGTTGAGCATCCAATAACATGGACACAACCTTCAATGCCACCCTTCATTTTTCATTGGCCACAAGATAATTATATTGGGCAAATTTCCCACAGTCCTGACTCAGTGCTATAGACT